CACTCAGAGCTGGGGTCCCAGATTAAGCATCCTGACTGTCTGGGTCTCTGTCAGATAGTTTTCAAGAGGGCCACGTGGGGTGATGGAAATGTGTGGAGTGGTTTGAGTTGGAGGATCCTATCTACTTGGGATGTGGGTCAGAACGCTAATGGATGGCCAGTACCATTAAGAACAAATTGTCATGCCTGAGTCCCAACGATGTCTGCTTTGAGAAATACTGCTCCATTCTTTGAAGGGACAGCAGATGGAGCAGAAAGGGCACAGTCTGCCCTGGTGACTGACAACCTGCATCGGAATCCCCACTGTGATTCTTCCTTGCTGCGCTGCTTTGTGTTCATTCCTTAACCTCCCTGAGCCATGTGCTGCAATCTTCCCCAAGCGAACACGGGCTTGGCTGCTGCTTTGAAGAAGGCTGATGGTCACCCATCATTTGGTAGTGAACAGGTGACCCTCCAACTGAGCACTGCTATCTTCTGCAGGGAAGGGGGGCTGGCAGGCTCAGCCTCAGACATGGGTGTGTCAGCGAGTTACTTCCCAGCCACAGCGGCGGGAAGGGAGCTGGCAAGCAGAAGGCCTATATCAGCAAATGCAGGCAGTGCCCACCCACTGGTGTAGGGCTCTGGCATCAGTTCCCTTGGCAGTGGCTTCCCTTTGCCCAGGAACAACCCCGCCTAGGTTGTATCAACGGGTAATCACAGCCGTGTACAACCCCCCACAGATGAAGCTCTGTCTCCAGCGGGGCCAAGGCCCTGCAGAATCCACCTGTGCCTTCCGGCTCAAAGAGATGCTCTTCGTGCTTTTGTTTGATGAGCTGCCGGCAGCACCCCTGGTGGCATTCAATTACAGCCCAGCTCCGCCGAATGCTTTTGGTCTCAGGTTATGAAACGAATGCCCACCGAGCCCTGGATGCCCGAACTCCAAGGCTGTTCAGATTTCACAACATCACTCTTGAAAACAGCTCCTGTCTTCCTCGAATCCTGTCACTCTCCTGCGTCTTTGCACTCTTGCCTCCAGTTATGGTTTTTGAATACTTCCTCACACCTCCCCCCACCTCCCAGCCACTTGTCTGTTCTCCCCACTTGACAGAGCGCAGCTGCATACCTCGGGGGTAAGGACACGGGTGTGTGTGTGTGTGTGTGTGTGTGTGCTGCAGCTTGGGGCAATGTGTGTCATAAGGTGGCTGGTGGTACCCAGGATTTTAGTGGTGGGACTTTTGTGTCTTTCTTCCTATGTAAAAGCCCATTTGTTTATGTTTCAGGCACTAGTTAATAAAGTTCTGTGATCTCATTCCTCTCATGGAGGCTCAGCTGAGTCAGGTTCAGCTATTTGGGGTGTTGGGCTAACCCTCTCTCCATTTGCAAACACAGAAGAGGAAAGCTGTGTCTTCCGAAGATATTGTCACTTGGTGGCTATGCTTTCCACTAATTGGAAATACACGGCAAGTTCACTACAAATAGAAATCCCAAATCTCAGAAAAGGTACATTGTTTTGTGACACTGATAAAAACATTGTCGGAGAATTGCTGGAATCCCACGCAAAGCTATCGACAAATGTTGGTTGGTAGGGTCAGGTCAGTTGAAAGAAGAGAAACATAGCAAGAGGAGGTTATGGAAGGTGGTTTAAAACGTAGAATATTAAAGGATATGAAAGGCCTTTGGGGAAAATGATGACGACCTCAGATGTCTATGCAATGCTTTGCAGAGGTTTCATTATGAATGTGCTATAATTCAAAGGAGAACGCGATTGTGCTGTGCTGTGGCGTTGGTCGCCTCTGACTGCCAGACTCACATGCTCCTGGCCTCACCTTGACCGCAGCCTGGGCTTCAGGACGGAGCTTCCACACCGATGGCTCCCACCCCTGCCCCCACCCCTGTAGACCCAGTGCTGCTCTTCCAATAGACCCAAGTAGCCCGGAGCGCTGGGAGTGACCCAGAAGCAGCTCACAAGCCAAGTGGAACAAGTTGCTGACGGAGAAGTAGTCCTCATGGTCAGTGCCGATCCATTCTGACTCCCATGGTCAAAGTTCTCTTTCCCAAAGACAAAACTCTGAAGAGGTGAGCCAATTTATATTCCTTCTAGCAGTGTGTGAGAGTACCTATTTCCCAAGCCTTCGCTAACCTTCTCTATAATTATTAAAAAAACATTTTTTGAAAAATGGTGTCATTTCATATTTCATTTCTTTGCCATGGTTGAACTTTAAAAAACACATGCTTGCCATTTTTATTACTCCCATTGGATAATGCCTGTTCATGTCATTTGCTCTAAAAGACCTTTGATATTGTGACACAGTAAATGCTATCTGTGTTCTGAAGCTCAATTTTGGAGCCTGGCGGGATTTGCCCTGGCTAGCCTTGGCTCTGGGCCCGGGGCCATACAGAAAAGCCCCTTTTATAGTTGCTTCTAATGGTACAGTGTCATGTGCCCATCTGTTTAAACTTGGCCCCGGCCATGAGGGCTGGATAACAGGAGCCCTGGAAGCAAACGGTAATCATTTACTCAAAGTGTCCTGTTCCTCGGCCCTGGATCACTTTTACATCAAGCTCCTTCTGGATGGCCATTTTTAGCTCAGAGGACCACACCATTTTGAGGCCTGCTGCTTTTGGGGACTAAATATAATTTCTCTGGGAAAGGGGCCAATGGCGGCAGCTTATTTCCGTTTGGCCTATGTCTTGAGGCAAGACTGAATATGAGCGGAAATGTGGAGCCAGCATGAAGAAACAGTGTGGCACCACTGAGCACCAACCACCACTGCACAAAGACCTTTTGGTGGCCAAGAGGGAGCCAGTGGACAGGTGAGTGCACCCACTTTTTAGGCCCCTGAGGGAATGGGCAGCGGAGTCATGACAGATTCTCTTGCCCTGGAATAACAGGGATGTTTGGGTGTGTATCTACTCAAACTTTACTGGAAGGTTCTGCCAGAATTTCATTTCTCATTCTGGTAGTTCACACTACTTGGATAACATAGAAGGTCTTCCATGAATTAATCCTTAACTTCTCACTCTTGATGTTCCCCAAATACCAATGACCATACTCCAGCCATATTGAACAGCTACATTTCCCCAACAGCATCATGCCATTTTTACCCCCCTCTACTTTTGCACATATTTTCTCTGCTTGGATTACAACTGGAAATTGTACTCACTTTTTCAGATTCAAACCCAATGCTCCTTGACCCAGTCAAGTAGAAGTAATCAGTCACTTCTTTGGTTCAGTACTGGTTCTCAGTTCATACCTACATTTTCCATGCTTGGGTCTCTATTGGACTGTGAAAACATTGAAAACAGAGACTTCATTCATTCATTCATCCATCTATCCTTCCATCCATCCACCCATCCAACAGACATTTGCTGAGCACCTGCAAATGTGATGTGGTTCTCTTCTTTATCTTTGCACAGCTTCTGCAAAGCATGGTTTTGGAACACAACTGCTCAAGAATGGGTGGCAAGTAGTATTGAGTTATTGAAAATGGCTATGTCACTTATTTCTGGCATTGGAGAATCACCTTCAGGTACAGCATATTTAATCGTCTTGAGCTTTGTGATCTTATTGTGTAGGGGAGATGCATAACTTTGACACCCCATAACACACTGGGACTCCTTATCACATCCTAGCTGCCCAGTCTTCTTCTGTGTCCAGAGTTGCCAGATGCATTCAGGGGAATCACCTGGACTCGCAACTTCTTCCCTCACCATGGACTTGCTTTCCCAGTGAAGATTATATGTCATGTGCACACAGAAGGGCCAAAGTGTACCCACATCATGGCCCAATTATGGCTCAGATAGTTGGAGCTGTGCTAGGATAGTATGATACCAATGCATAGCAGATAGTGGGAAGTAGGTGTTGGCAATAATCACCAATATTTTAAAAAATTAATTAATTAATTAATTATGAAAGAGAGAGGATTTTAAGAACCAGGTATGCACAAATGGTTTGAGTGACTCAAGTCCAGATAAAGTTTGGGAAGGCCTATAATGTGGTGATGTTGGGGGGAAGAGGATGATTGTGCATGTGGAAAAAAGAGATGAGAGCCACACTCTGCCTGTAACCCATTTCTAGGAGCATGGGCCGTGCTTTGCTTTTTAGATGCACCTACCATTTGTGCCCTCCTATTTTTCTTCTTGGTTTCCCAGATTTTGGACCTCCCCCCGCCCCCCCGCCGGCTCCTCCCTCCTTTGAGTCTCTCTGCCCTCTGTCAGCCTGATCTCAGTTCTACAAAAGCCTCATGAAAGGAAACTTATCCTCAATATGGTCTGTGATAGAACCCCACATTGACCATGAGCCATAGACCAGCAACCTATAACTATTCATTTTAGTTAATTATTTGTTCTGTAGGAGTTTCTATTTGTTTATTTTGGGGGTCTTTTTTGATATTTGTGTTTGAAATATATTTTCTGCTAATTCTTTTAAAGAATAGATTGAACCCTTCCTAATGTCTAGTTCTAGACTTCATTTTTTTAAATGTTCAATGAATTTTATAGCAGTAAAATATGCTGCTCATTTTTGACACAAAATTTTCAAATGTACTTTTTGGAGTGTTTACTGAAAGATGACTTTCAGTGTTTCCAAAGAGAATTCTTATCGGGATGTCCTAAGGACCCGGAATCTTGCTTTAAGTTGCTCTCCAAAAACAATAATTTTCTTTTTAAAGCCCAATATCTCATTTTTGAGTCTTTGTAGGAATGTTGGACCGGTCCCTCTGTCCCCTCCTCTGGGCCCACCCATCCCCTCTAATAGCCAAGCTTCCTAAGTTCTCAGGCCGGCGGGGCAGGGGTCAGAGGAAGCAGACACGCCAGCCAGCACTGGTTGCTGGGCAGTGTGATTGGTCTGTAATCCCCCTCTCACCCAACCAGAAGTTGCTACGTGGCAGTCCAGGCTTGGTGATGTGATCCTCTGTGTGGCGACATCTCTAGGGCAAAAGTCACAACACAATCCAATTTGGAGGGTCCCTGAGCCACTCACTGTTAGGTTTAAGTTTCCAAATCCCAAGTGTTTGAGACGTGAGTCCCCGGCCATCCTGGGACTTACGGCACACACTGCCAGATGTGAAATAGAGATCCAGTCAAGTGATTTACTGGTAGGTGTGATTACCCCAACTGTGCTAAGGACCCCAAAACCACGGCATTGCATCCTGCCCCAAACACTTGGTTAAGTGAAAAACAGATGAGAGCTCAAACTTTACCTTAAAATATATATGCTTTTATTTTCCCTTTCTTAGAATGAAATTCATATGTGAGGCAGCAAAGTGTATTGGATAGGACCAAGGGTTCCTGAAGCCAGAAAAAAAAAAAAAAAAAAGCCCTTAATTTAAAGCCTTCCCTTTACACTCCTTAGCTGGGTGACCCTGGACATGTTGTTTATCTCTCTTGGTCTCCAGTAAGATAGGGATAATGATACTGAAACTCATAGGGCTGTCGAGAAGACTCAAAGAGACAAATGTATTAAAGTGGAAGCTGGGGGGTAGCACTGGATAAACAATGGAGAGGTAAAGAAATGAAAATGGACCAGGCTTTTGAAAGATCTGGAATATCGAAGACACATTTTCTAGTCTAATTTAGGTCTGAGATCTGTTCTCCGACTTGGTTCCTCTTCACATTGCTGTCCTTAAGTTGATGACGGGATTGGCCACAGCCTGGGGACCTAGGAGTGGGGCACCAGCACAGGGTAGAAGGCTGGGCTCTGCCAGCATCTTGCTTTATGATTGGCTCAGCCAATAGACTCTCCTTAATGCTGAGGTAACTTGAAGACGTTCTTTTAGAGTTAACTCAGCTTAAATAAAATGCTGATCTAGATCAGGGGTTAGAAAACTTTTCCTATATAGGACCAAATAGAAAACATTTTAGACTTTGTAGCCCATATGGTCTCTGCTGCAGTAACTCTGTCACATGAAAGCAGTCAAACAGACAAACATGTAAATGAATGTGGATGGCTGAGTTCTAATAAAGTGTCACTTACAGGCATTGAGATTTGAATTTCGTGCAATTTTAATGTGTGAAAAATATTCTTATCTTCATTTTTTTAAGTAACATTTTTAAAAATGTAAAACATGGGCCATAACAAAATAGGTATCAGGCTACCTTTGGCCCATAGACCCCTGCTATAGAATGATATTTTGTGAGAGATAAAATTTGGATGTCTACTGGCCTGCTTTAGTTTCCTTGCTACTAAGTGTGTGTGGTTATGGACTCTTGACTCCGTGCCTATACTGTGTTAGGGTCTCTACATGCATCAGCAGAACTTCAAGAAGGAATCATGAAATCCACCATCAACATCAAGGTTTCAATACGCTTCTCCACAAATGACCCATAAATAAGATATGCATTACCTCTTTTAATCTTTACTCCACACTGCAAGGTAGATTTTATCATTCCTACTTTACAGTTAAGGAAACTGAGGTTCAGAGTAGCTACTTAACTTACATAGGATCATAGGCTGAAGAAAAGATAGGACCAAGATATAAACAAGGATTGTGTGATTTTAAAGCCCAGGCACCTACCACTGCCTTTCATGGCCTCCCTCACCCACCAACCTTGTAATCATCTAGAAATTCATGGCAGAAAAGAAGACCTGGAAAGGCAGTGACTGTGTTACTGACCTCACTTTTTAGAACTTGGGTCAAGGGATTTTTCCAGAAATTTGGGTTCTATTGGGGTAACACTGAGGAAGTTGGGTTAAATGCCCAACAACCGAAATATCTTTTTTATATTTGGTTTTGTTTTTTAATCACATGAGCAAGCATTACTATTGGCCAGGAGTCAACAGCCACACATGGGGAGAGGCACCCAGCAGTGAAACATGAATTACTGAGGTCATAGATCACTTTGAGGCAAGCTGACACAGGGGTCTTGTCACTGATGGAAGGAACAGCATGCAAGCCTATGAGGCCGAGTCACCCTGGGTACAGTTCAAAAGGCTGTCTGCATTAAAGTGATGTCAACTAAATGGAAGGAATTCAGAGACCAAACAAGTAAATAATAACAGCATTGGGAAGGGCTGATTCAGGAAGCCCAATTTGATTTGACAGTGTCATAGTGGTGGGTGATGACAAAAGATTCCCTGGGAGAGCCATTTGGCTGTACTTGACTTGAGTGTAGAGCAAGGAGGTCAAGTGGTCAACTTGATTTGTTCTAGAGGCTATTAGCCAGTCCCCTTAAGAAGAAAAGGAGAAAGCGCTGGGGAGAGAAGGAGGGAAGAGGGAGAGAGAGAAGGAAAGAAGGGGGCAGAGAGAGAAATGGGTAAAAAATGAGAAACAAGCAAAATAGCAAGAAAAACTTGAGGTTTCCTATAAGCCAGCCTTGGACTAACTTCTGGAAGGAAGCATGTATGTGTTTGTCATGGGAGAAGCTAAACCAGGGTGCAAAAATGCGATAATAAGCAAGCAGGAGGGAACAGCCCTGTCTGATGAGAATAGTAAGGACATGTGGGTGACATCCGTTTTCTCACCCTGTGACCAAAGGGACCAGATTCCAGGGTGTGAACCTGCCACAGCAGATAGGAAAGTTTGCTTCTTCCAGACACCCTGCCCATGGGCGTGGGGGCGGGGGGGCAGGCGGTATGAACACAAGGCCCGACTAGATGTCCGGAGGATGTCCTGGCTTGGGTTTCTCCCAGAAGCAGCCTCTGAGACAAGTATCTGAGTGCAAAATAGGATTTCTGGGAGGTGATTACAGGAAGCAGTCAGGGCGAGGGGAAGTAAGACAGATGGGAAGGCAGCCAGATAAAGGTTCATTGTCAAGTAAGCAGCACTGTGGACAAGCAGAGTGTGATCCCACCAGGATTGCTGGGGGCCAGAGTAGAACATGGACCTTGGAGTTATCCTGTGCAGGGGAGAGAGGAACTGGGGCCCCAGCAGCTGGTCAAGAGCCTTTTCCCACGCTGTGTGTGACCATTGACTTCAGGTGGGCGCCATCAGGCTTTGGCGGCCAGAGAGAACCTTGGGCCAAGCGTCCCAGGGTTTGCTGGCAGTTGGAGTTGGGCTGGCATTTATGGCAATGGTGACTGCCGAGGGCCGGGGTGCTGGCAGAACCTGCAGCGGGCGCCCTCGGAGGAGCCATATTGGAAGTGAAGCTCTGAAGGTTATGGTTTTACATGTGCACATGCTTCTTGCTACACAAGAAGGGGTGGGTGAGAGGAGACAGAGAGAGAGGGAGAGAGAGAGGGGGAGAGAGACTAAAGCTGTCGGGAAGGAGAAGGACAGCAATAGAGAAGGAAGCAAGTCCATGAGAGACCAAAGGTGTCCATGTGAGGACCAGAGCACAGAGATTGCAAGTCTGGAGGTTTCTTGCCTGCCGCCCATTCCCGCGAGGAGGGAAACCTGGATATCAGGCTCAATGATTCAAGGCCTCCGTGTTCTCATGCTGAGTATCATGCTGGCGGATATGAAGATGGGTGGTCTTCTCCTTCCCGAGAGAGGGGCTGGACACGGGAGAACAAGTTCGCCGGGGCAGGAAGCTTAAGACGCTTTCGTTGGCATGCAAAACCCCAAGGATGAGGGAAAAATGATCCTCTGAGTCTTCCTTTTAAGTGGTCTGGTAGTGAGATTGTTTTTCCCAGATGATTTCCTGGGCCAGTATAAACTTCTGCCGGGGCCGACTTGGACACTTCTGTCTCCACCCATTCCCCTGAAAGCATGAGCCCAGCCAAAGCTCTTTCCATACAAGCTCAGCTTTTGGAAGGTGTTCAAGGAGTCAGTCTTGTGCATAGCTAAGGGGTCTCCATTAGAGCAAATATGCCCCATTCACCACTATCACCCACCCCACCCGCCCCCGGCCTCGGAGTGGTCTCCCTCAGCTGTCCATAGGACAACCTCTCCCGAGCGGGGCTTTGGTTTTTGCTGTTACCCAGGGGATGATGTGAACTCCTCTGAAGTCAGGGCATCAAGGAAACTGAGCTGTGGGAGGCTGAAGAATGCCCCTCCCCCAATATATCAGGGCCTGATTCCTAAAATGGGTGAATGTTACATGATTTGGAAAAAAAGGTTTTCATAGATATCAATTAAGGATCTGGAGATGAGGAGATTATCCTGGGTTATCCAGACCTTAAATGCAATCACAGGTGTCCTTAGAGGAGGAAGGCAGAGGAGGGTTTCACGTGCACAGGGGAGAAGCGGACGCGAAGGTGGGGCAGGGATTGGAGCAGTGCGGCCACTGCCCCAGGAATGCTGGGAGCCACCAGAACCTGGGGGCAGGAAATGGATTGTCCCCTAGAACCTCCGGAGGGAGCACAGCTCTGCTGACACTTGGCTTCTGGACTTCTGACCTCTAGAACTGTGAGAACAAATATGAGTTGTTTTAAACCAGGTTTGTGATAATTTGCTGTAACAGCCCCAGGAAACCAATTACACGAGTCCATAAAATTTCTGGTCACAAGTGGATCTGGTTACAGGCAACCTGTGGGTTGAGTTGGGTAATAACCTGAGCAACCGCTTCTTCTGGGTTTAGGTGAAGGCTGGGACCAAAAAAGTGAGGCAGATGTTGTCCCCAGCAGTAGCCTCCCAAGGGTTGCAAACTTGCTTCCAGAGACCCTGGGGAGACTGAGATGCTTGCTTCTATCTTCCAAATGGCTGGGATGCTATCCAAGGTGGGGTGACTCAATGAAAGAACGTGAGTGGTACAGATCTGGGCCTGGGTCCAGGTTCTCTGTGTGCAGTGAGGTGACTGGCTGGGGTAGCCCTGGGATTTGTACTGAGGTCTCCTGAATGCACCAAGGAGTGCACAAGGACAGGAACACTTCCATGTGCCATGGGTCTGATGGAGGCTGATGGTATCGGATCCTGTTCGTTGGGGAAACCAAGGTTCTCTTATGGGTGACACTGAATACTTCTAGTGCACCACATACTCTCCTGGGAAACTCACAATATCTAACAGTTTGCTAACAGAATTCCTTCTTCCTTGGAGTAGGTCAGTGTTTTTATTCTTAAAGCCTTCAACTGATGGATGGGGCCCACCCACATTATGAAGGGTAATCAGCTTTACACAAAGTCTACTTTGATTTAAATATTAATCTCATCTAAAAAAATACCTTTACAGAAACATCCAGATGTCATTGACCAAATATCTGGGTTCTATGGCCTAGCCAAATTGACACACAAAATTAAACATCCAATCTTTTAACAGAAGAGGAAACAGAGGCTTAAGGAAGTAGAACAACCCACTGAAAGCCATGCAGCTAGTGTGTGGTTTGACTCAAAAGTCAAGGTTTCACCACCAGGTTTAGAGATGTTTCAGTGGGCATTAGGATGAAATTGGCTGTGCAGCTGCACCCAGTTTCTTGACGGGGTAGGTCATGCCCAGTCTAAGCAACAAGCCAAGGGGACCTTAATCAATTCAAGTTCCTTCTCTTTCTTGTTTACTAATCACCTTTGACCTTCAACTCTCCTCAGCCCTCTCCTGTCATTCACTCTTCCCTGTTCCCTAGCTAAGTTTCTTTCAGCACATGGTTTGCGATTTGTGTTTTTTTTTTTTTAATTTTTAAAGTCTTACTTATTTTTGAGAGAGAGAGAGAGAGAGAGAAAGAGAGAGAGAGAGAAAGCAGGTGAGGGTCAGAGAGAGAGGGGGATACAGAATCCGAAGACAGGCTCCAGACTGAGCTAGCTGTCAGCACAGAGACTGACGGGGGTTCAAACCCACAAACTGTGAGTTCATGACCTGAGCTGAAGTCAGACACTTAACAGACTGAACCACCCAGGCGCCCCTGGTTTGATTTTTTTTTTTTGGTAAGTTACTTCTAACATTTTGCAAACATTTCAGGTACCATATATCTACCATGAGAACGCTCTTAGTCTCTAGCAATGAGTCTGCTGGACACATGTGGTTGGAGCTGGTGAGGGGCTTTCTCTTCCTGGATGCCTCACTCACAGAGCAGTGAGGAGAGAAGAGACATGAGTGTTCTTGCTCTTGAAGGGCAAGGGCTATTTCTCAGCTGACCTTGAAGGTGGGGCCAATTCCTAGACATCTTTGAATCCCATGGCTGTCAGTGTCCAATCAGGAAAAGTGAAATATACCAGAGATTTGAAGCAGAGAGAATTCCATTTGGGGAACTGATTGAAAGACCTGAAGAGCATAAAGGGAAGGATAAGGGAAACTGTGGATTCATAGTGGCAGGGAGCTGCCCCCACGCCTCAGGCTAGGGGGGAGTGGGGAGAGGACACAAGGGAAAACGGTAGAGTGTTCCCTGGATGAACTCTTTCAGCTTCTAGAAGCTAGGACAACACGGCTGATCCTGGATTTGGGGATTGCTTGTTTAGGCAGATGCCTGAAGTTGATGCGGAGGAGTGAAGCTAAGGGTATAGCTATGGTTACAAAGCTCTGTGGACATGCGCATATTAGTGGCAACGGGTGATCTTTCACTACTTATTACCTAGCTTAGGTTGGGCCCCGTTGCCTGCTGCCATAGCCACCCATCTTCCCTCACAGCATTTGGTACATACCAACTATTCCATTTATCTTTAAAACTGTTTTTTAATGTTTATTTATTTTTGAAAGAGAGACAGAGTATGTGCAGGGGAGGGTCAGAGAGAGAGGGCAGGGGAGGAGAGGGAGACACAGAATCTGAAACAGGTTCCAAGCTCAGAGCTGTCAGCACAGAGCCCGACGTGGAGCTTGAACTCACCAACCCTGAGATAGTGACCTGAGCTGGTGTCGGATGCCCAACCCACTGAGCCACCCAGGCGCCCCTCTATCATTTTATCTACTTGAGCCAGCTTCCCGGCCAGGCTGCTAGTTCTGTGAACTAAGGACCGCACTCTCCTTGTTTCTTGTATTCCCTTTGTGCCTGGTGCTCAGTGGCCACCAGTGCTCGCGTGTTAACTGGCCACTGGCTGGGACCTCGAGAGATATCCTTTTTGATTCTTATCGAGATGATTCAGGGAGAATTAAAGGGCCTCACGGGAGTGCCTGCCTTTTGAGAAGAAAGCTGCATTTAAGACAGTTTTCACTCAGCCGTGGCCATATCATTCAATGTCTCACAGAGAAAAGGCAGCAAGACTAGGGAGGCAAAGGGCAGTCCAAGGAGAGTCAGGGGGATGCACCCTCCTTCCCGAAGGTGCCTCTGAGTAGAGATTTGGTGGTGACTGGAGCAGGTGGATCTGGAACGCCACGAGCCTGCCCGTCTACTGTCTCCTCACCCCTTCCTCCCTCAGCCATTATTTACAGGCACGCTGCTATGATCCCACAAGCTCATCTCCACTCCCTGAGGAGAAAGGAGGGAAATAGGTTGATAGGGTGCTTTCGTCTGTAGGAGAATCAGTGTGTCTTGCCCACGAGCCCTGTGGGAGTCATCATTCTGAGAGAAGCTATATCAGCCCAGCGAGGAGTCCCCATGGTCTGGGCGTGGACTCTCCCCGGGAAGTTGCTCTTTCTCGTGCCTGGCTGAAAGCCAACACTGACTTCTATCCTCAGAGTTGTTAAAGCTCTAATACCGAGAGTTTATGAATGTGACAGTCAGACCTGACCGATGACCACAGCTTGGCTGCTTCCGATGCATTTTAACCTTGTCCCAGGTAAAGGCATTTAGCAGGCCTTGCACGAGTCTGGGAGGCTTCTGCCCATCCACCATTTGACCACTACAGTATATTCTTGAGATGCCTGTAAGGTATACGTATGTTTAAATATATATACTGTATATATTTAAATGCCTTATACATATAAATATATAAGGTATTTATATGTATCAGTGTGTGTGTGTGTGTGTGTGTGTGTGTGTGTGTGTGTTTAAGACCCAAGAATTCTTCAGAGGGAGGGATATAAAATGCATTTTATCCAGCCACTTATTGGTAGCCACCTGGGGCATGTGTTGAGAAGGATTCTGAAGTGCTGTATCATTGAGTTATGGGCACCAAAAGACTTATAAGACCCTTCTATCAGAAACATGTTAAAAACCAAAAGGCTCCATAATTGCACTTCTCAGCATCCTTGGAAAGAATTCTGTGGCTTCTCTCGAGTGCCGAAATACCTAAGGTCATTCATCTCTTTCTTCTTTTTCATTAATAGCAAAATTTCCCGTCCTGTCACACGTGCCTATCATCACACATGATATATTTCATGGCATCATCGAATGTTAGGGCTGGATGATTCTTTAGAGAGCATTTAGTCTAAGTGTCTTGTTTTATAGAGGGTGAAAATGAGGCATAGGAGTCTGATTTTCAAAAGGTCAAACAGCTAGTTAACACAGGCCCTCAGCCTCCCATTTATGGTCTTTGGACCCTCTGCTTCCAAGGCAAAAGTATCTGTCATCACCTTGACTGTTTGCTAGGAGAAATGCAGGGCTGCTTAGGAGTGTGTCAGGTGCATAGCTTGAGCCATAGAGGTCGTCTTTGAGCTGCGTGGTCTGGCTCTCTCACTTGCTAGTTGAATAAAAAGTAGTAAATGGCTTAATCTTGCTAAGCCTCAGTTCCTTCATCAGGGAACTGGAGGTGAGGATCATGTTGATAAAATGAAGTGATGAAACCGAAGTGTGTAGCACTGGGTCTGGCTCGATAAATGCTGACTATTTTTGTCATCTGTACGATGATCTGGTTGGACTCCATGGTTCCTTCTTGTTCTGAAAGACTGTGGTTCAGAACATTAGGTCATAGCCCATGGGATCGCCTCTGACAATGTGGTGGCCTTCATGTGGTGGCATCAGGACTGCTCTACTCAAGTAAGATGATATGTGGCGAGCGGGTTGTTTGCTAATTAGCAAGCATTACTCAGTGTTTATTCCAGCAAACATACTTATCATCATTTTTATAACTACTAGTATTAATAACCTGCAAGTTATATTCTATGAAAATGGCTCCAATGTCAATGGCCAGTTTTAAATCCATGAAGGATTCTGTTAAATTCTCAACTCCCCTAAGCACAACCTCTTTTTGCCAACCTTTATCTTCTGGCTTGGGTCTTTAAACTGATTATTCTCCACAAGGTGGTGTTTTAGGTTGCTCTTTATATCCGGCTACAGTTTTAATTGGTATCATTTTATATTTGCTTTTTATTGATACCTTATTCCTGGGCTTGCATCCATAGTCATTTCCTAAAGGGCACGGTTTTTAAAAACCTAATAAATAAATAAGTGTGTGTGTGTGCACGTGTGTGCGTGCACATGTGTACGCATGTGTGTGTCTAGGCTGAAGTCAGCACCAGCTTCTGAGGAGTGAGCATTAGGTGTCTGTGAAGGGGAATGCTGTCTTGATGCAGAATTCTGTCTTGTACCTCCCGATGTTGTCTGGGTACAAGTCCCAAAATATGTCACTTCTCTGCTAAACTCCACAGTGACCGCAGCATGGGCTCCATCCTGATCCTGTAGTCCTGATCCACACCGTGTGGACCCAGAATCATCTGGGAAGATGCTGTTGATATGAACTCAACTGAGTGTCGGTCATCAGGTATCTCAAAGCTCCAGCAAGCACCCCAGGCCTGAGCACCATCTTCCTGGAGATGGGCCCCAGGTGCAAAATCCTCTAGTGGGATACAGCAACATTCTGACAAGGCCTAGGGAATCGGAAGTGTCCTTTATGGCTAGAGTTCAAGGTTCTATGAGGAAAAACTCACTGAGCTTTGGGCCCATTATTTTTCCACAAAAAGGAGGCAGGAAGACTGTGATCAGAGCATCTGGGTTAGACTCCTGGTTGGGCCCTGCCGTGGTGTCAGCTGACTGCAGGGCTATACCTTCATCTTTCCAAGGGCCAGTTTCCCATCTGTGAAGTGGAAGAAGATTTTACTTCCACTGCTGATTTATGGGTTGTTGTGAGGATCACATGAGATAATAGATACAGAAGGACTTGTAAATTCTGAAGTCACTTTCAAAGAGAAATTTCTTACAATAATCATAAAAGTATAATGATGGAAGGAAAGCCCTGCCCTGCATTAAAATCCCAAGAGCAGAGAGTTGGATCAGGAGAGATAGAGGAGGAATAGAGGACACAGTCTCTGCTCTTAAAAGCTGAAGCTCAGACTGAGCAAGTGGGTCCTGACAGAATCACCAGTGAAGCCTGGAGGTGAGAGATTGCTCAGGCAGGTCTCCTCCAGCCACAAGGGACAGAGAGCCACGTTGGCATGACTTCAGCAGACAGGAAGTTATTGTCTCTGGTCGTGGACAAGATCACAGGACTCAGTTTCCCTCACTCCATCTCTTGCTTCCAATTTCCTCTTTGTTAGTTTTATTTTTAGGCAAAATCACCCCACTCCCATCAATAAGAGGAACTTCTCATTCCCAGCAAAAGCCCCAGAACTGGAATTAGGTCTTGCACTGAATAGCTAGTGTCATGTTGGTCATGTTTCATAAACCAGGCACCCATCACCAAGGGCGTGTGATACACTGATTCATTCATTTATTAGACACATATTTATTTAACATCTATTTTGTTCCTAGGACTTTCCTGGGAGCTGGAGATAGAGCAGTGAACAAGAACAACAACCACCACTCAAGCAAATACATAAATTAAAAGATCATTTTAGACACAGGTTCAAAGTCGGATGTTCTGGGTGGGAGGCCAGGACTCAGTATTTAGCAAGATCGCTAGTAAGTCTGATGCCAGTGGTCTGTGTTTCACATTTTATTGGATGGTGCAAACACAGTATAAAGAGCATTCTCAACTCCTGTACTGTTGGTGGGAATGTAAACTGGTACAGCCCCTTTGGAAAACAGTGTGGAGGTTCCTCAAAAAATTCACAATAGAGCTCCCCTATGATCCAGCAATAGCACTGCTAGGAATTTACCCAAGGGATACAGGAGTGCTGATGCATAGGGGCACATGCACCCCAATGTTCATAGCAGCACTCTCAACAATAGCTAAAACATGGAAGGAGCCTAAGTGTCCATCAACTGACGAATGGATCAAGAAGATGTGGTTTATCTTTACAATGGAATACTACATGGAAATGAGAAAGAATGAAACCTGGCCATGTGTAGCAACATGGATGGAACTAGAGGGTGTTATGCTGAGCGAAATAAGTCAGGCAGAGAAGGACAGATAACATATGTTTGCATGTATAGGAGGATTAGGAGGAACTTAACAGAGGACTGCGGGGGAGAAGAAGGGGAGAAATAGTTGGGGGGAGGGAGGGAGGCAAACCATGAGAGACTCTTGAATGTTGAGAACAAACCGAGGGCTGAGGAGGGTGGGGAGGTGGTAAGGGGGGGGTGACAGGCATGGAGGAGGGCACTTGTGGGAATGAGCACTGGGTGTTATATGGAAACCAACTTGACAATAAACTATTTAAAAAAAAAAAAGAATATTCTCCAAAGATCTGGGGAGCAGTGTTTAGCTCTAAGTCCCCCTTTCTTAGGTCAGGGAAGTTCTCAGAAATGAACAGGGTAGACAACAAGACATCAAAAACAGCTTCAGGATGGGCAGGAAGGCAGCCTGCTTGCCTGTAGAGCAAGAATGGGCACAATAATTGTTCTAGGCATCATTTCTTACTCTGGAAGGCCCCATTACTTCCCAAGCCAAGATTCAGATACTTCCCACAAATATAAAAATTAAGATTTATTTGCTTCCTTTCTTCCCAGGTTAAATATCTGTAAAGATTCAGCCTCTAATCATTTTGTGTTCTAGATGTGGGCTTATCTGCTTATAGTCCAGTATTCACTTATTGTGGTTTGATTATCATTCCACTAGCTGTCCCTCCTCCCGTCCTCCATGCTTCCCTTCAGAATAGCCTATTCTATCTCGTTTCTTTCCCTTTCCCCAGAAAGTAAGCTCTTGCCAAAATTGGCTTTATGTGTGGAGGCCTAGAGGCTTGTTTCTTGGAGGCAAAAGGTGAGAGATGCTTTGAAATCTGGTTTTACAAGCTGTTTTACCAGTTTTACCAGAGGTGAGAAACCAAAGCTGAGACAGAGCAATGCCAGGTAGCACTTCCAGAACTTTTTCAGGGGAAGCCATCCTCAGGTTATTTCTAGAAGCTTCTCCTACTCCTTTCCTTATTCCTCCTGTTTGCTTCCCGGGGAAAAAAATCTTTATGTTATGTGACTTCCTTTTGCTCTGAAATTTCTATCTTGCATTCCAGCCTTTGGTCACTGTCTTACCGCTCTCTGAAGGTCAGAAATCAGATCCTTGCCATTCTGTGTTTGTGGAAGTGTTCAGTGGAAGTTTATCAAGCAGATGAATGATTGTCACAGTAAGGTGTGGGAAGGGGAAGGCAATTATAATGAAGCAAAAGGAAGGCAGGGAGTGGTACCCAGCAGATGGAATAGGCAAGTAGGTGAATCCTTAATGGCTGCATTGAGTATCATGTAGAAGAGGCAACTGTTAGGATGCCACTTCTGGATAACAAAGCAGGAGAGGGTTAGAACCATTCCTTTAGAACCCTCCTTCTGGATTGTTCACAGATCATCACTTAAATAGAAACACAGATTACAAGTGTAGGCTTAGAACTATAAGAAGGAAGAATGGAAATCTCCCAGAACTTATCCTGTCTGGGTTCATTGTATAGAAGAAAGAAGTGAGGCCAGCAAAGGTGGGGGTTGTGAACATGGTCGGCCAGGGCCTTTCAATGTCAAAGCATTGCAAGTCTTAGGTATAAGCTGGGGAGGCCACTGGGCAGCTGAGAGTCATCCAGGAGCACAATTCTTAAAATCTATCAAGTTATATAGTGAAGAAAAAGTTGCTATCATTTTTAGTCATTTACAGATAAAAGAATGATGAATCAAATTTCGACTTTTCTTACAAATTCTTGTCTTTGTAGTGAGATGCTTGGTAGAGGGTGGACAGCTCCATTTATAGAGGAGATTGGCTAGAAATCTAATGACAGCTCCTGATTACTCTCTGCAATGGAAGAGCCTCCTGACTGATGATATCTGGTTCTTTTGAGTCCGGCAATTTCCTCTCTTTTTAAAGAGCACATTGTATAGAATTTGTAACTTAATTAAAAGTAATAATAATAAGATAAAAAGATGAGAACATAGTCAAATCACATGTCACTTCCTGCCTTCAACCCTCCCATCCAAAAGTCTTAGCGAAGCTTAGTCCTTGACCAGGCTTCTCTGCCCATCCTCTGACTTCGTCACAAGTCTGAGCTCCCGGCTATATTATTTCTAAGACTAAGTTATGCACTGAAGTTCATCAAGTCTGGGAAAGTGAGTTATCTGTTTCAGTATGTGAGAAATTAATTTCTCACTGGACACTTAGAAACTTCTGGGTTGAAAAAGAAACTTCAGGAGTGCCTGGGTGGCTCAGTCAGTTAAACGTCCGACTTCTGCTCAGGTCATGATCTCATGTCTCATGGGTTCGAGCCCCGCATCTGGCTCTGTGCTGACAGCTCTTTTTAAACATTTATTTTAAACAGTCAGATGAATTGTCAGTATTAATGCCTGGACTTTGAGAATTGAATCCAAATGGCATGGTATGTGTGTGGGGGAGTGGTGGGGAAGAAATATAATCAGGCACTTAAAAAAATGTTAGTTTAACCTTACATACTAAGATGAATGGGGGTAGAATTTCCTGAAGTCAAGTTCAGATGTGACATTCTTTCCAAAAGAGGCCCAATTAAGATCACATATCAAGTCATCTCCCAAATTTACATGTGAAAAGGCACAGTTCGGGGGTAGCAAATTATAAGATGTTTCTTCCTTCTGTCATCAAGACATCATTTCAGCCATTTCTGTGTAATTTTTGTAGGCTGGGAAACCCTTTGTTGCTATTAATTATATCTGTTCAAAAATGGGAACGTGTGGAGATAGGTTGGTAATAAAATAGGATGAAGCAGAAAATCAGGCCAAATACCTCGTCAGCCAATAATGCTGGGAAAAGGTTCAGAACTATCTGTATGAAGAATTAAGCCTATCACAGGACAGGAGATAGAAGTTGTCTCTCAGACATGCTTGTCCCTGTGTCCTCTCCTCTTCCTCCTATGGGACAGGCTCATCCAGGTCACCTTCATGGCACCGGGAGCTATGGCTTCCCCTCCCCGACCTAGACCCCCCTCCCCCCCCACTATCTACCTGTTTTCTTGGTTCACTTTGGCTCACAACACACTCAGGTCAGTCCATTGGTCTTGGTGGGCCCAGATTCATTTTTAGGGGGTTTTGTTTTGTTTTTTATCTTTCCCCATTCTGCCGTATGGCCATTGTGGAAACTTAACTGCATTTGGGAAAGCATAAACACTTCAGGGAGGCTGTTGCTTTTTCTTCATTGTGTTTGGTCCAGCCCAGAGCCTTCAGACCTGAAAAGCATGTGGGATGGAGGAGGCCTGACTTCTGGGCTCATCAAACCCACTGGCCAGATGCCTCAACCTGACAGGGAGCAGGGTCCTCTTAGATTAAGTTAGGAGGGTGGGTGGAGTCTCCATTTCCTCCAGGTCTTCTGGAGGTGACACTGTGACTCCTGCCTGACTTCTGTTTGTTTGCTTCTGGATAGCATTAGAAAACTAACCCCATTTAACCCAATTTGTGCTTCATTTAACCCAATTTGTAAAAGAGGCTTCACTTTTCTCTCTCTTTCCTCAAGTTTCAGTTTTGGTATAACTTTACATTGGTGAATCATATTCTATAATCAAACATTCTCTTACATTCAGCCCTAATTGGTCCGAGATAGGCATCGTAAGGCCTGGTGCAGGAGGAAAGGGTTGGAATGTTCGGTCCCACATGTCAAGCAAACCTGTCCCCTCTCAGAGCTGAATGGATGAAACATCATAACTCAGAAAACACATTGGACTTGAGCTCTCTAGCCTGGCAGCCCACATGCCCTGGACACTTAAAAACTCCTGGACTAAAGAAACTTCAATTTCTTAGAGGCAAAAAGTTTCCCACAAAATCCTGGTTTAAACACCAAGAAATAAATGTCTACTTAGCTGTAGAAGATTAGAGTTGTCATCTCAGAGCAGCCATATTGAGATAGAGGGCCAAATTCTGGTGCAGGTGAATCAGAAAGATGCAGATTACATTTTTGTCTGAAATGGAGCACATGGTGAAAAAGTAAGGGTTTGGGGCTGAAATATGCTGAGCACTCACTGCCTCCCAGCTGTGCCAAAGAGCAGCTCAAGGGGCTTACGTATGGAAGTGTGTACGTGGTTCTCTTTTTTCTCTCCTGAACCTGCTCCTGGAATCTATCGTCCTGTCCTCTTTCATAACCTTCTCTGTGGAGCAGACACACTCTCCCAACTGCGGCTCCATTTGCCCTGCCAAATCCCATTCTGAAAATCAACTTTCAAAATGGCAACTTTAAGGGAACACAAATGGGGCTGAAAACGAAGGAGCAGCCGAAAGGAATGGTTTGAATTCAGAAGTTAAAGAGGATCAAGAAGCCTTGTGGAGCAAACTTATATTTCCTAAGGATCCTGATGGCTTGTGCCAGTCGAGGTGACCAGTCTCTCCAGATGGGATGTGCCACTTCTTGCACTGGGCTGTAATTGCCCATGACAATTGCAGTCTTCTCACTGTACCAAGGAAAAGAGATACACCAACAAAAGCACCAGCCAGAAACCCACACTGTTTGAGGCAGCTGTCCTATTAAAACTGTAATTGTCTCCACTACAGAAATCTCTCTCCATGTTCTCATTCTTTGTTTCGTGTACCTATTTTTCAAGTCTTCCTCCAACCACTTCCTTCAAATCTCCTAGTGTCTCTTTTGTGAAAAAGAATGAAAAGAATTGCTAACTTTGACTTCTTTCACTGTTAGGATATAAGAAAGTATTTTTCTTGTAAGTTTCTCATGGAGCTTCTTGTCTTGGGCATTGAATTTTTGCATCCATCCATCCATCCATCCATTCACCCACCCCATAGTCATGCATTTACTGATCCCTGTGAGAATGTTGTTTGTTTTGGCCCATCCAGGACTGTTCTCTCTTCTCTGGCAACAACCCCATTTTCCTTTGGGAAAATGCCTTCATTCATTTCCTTTTTATTATTTAAAAAAAAATTTTAAAGTTTATTTATGTTGAAGGACAAAGGGAGTGGAGGAGGAGCAGAGAGAGAGGGAGAGAGAGAGAATCCCAGGCAGTTTCGTGGCTATCAGCATGGAGCCCCCATGCGGGGCTTGAAATCACGAACTCTAAGATCAAGACCTGAGCTGAAACCAAGAGTTGGACACCTAACCGACTGAGTCACCCAGGTGCCCCGCCTTCATGCATTTTCAATCCATGTGGTTCAGGTGAAACTAAGCTCAGCAGTCAGCAGCAAGAGTGCATACGTTACCCAGGCCTGGCCACTGCCCTGCCTCAGTGACTGAATTAATTGGGCAAGTCAGTGTCAGTCTGACTCTTTGGTCTGTGACTGGAACTCTTGGGAAAGATGATCTCTTGATCAGCTGAGGTTGCCAAGCTATAGGAATGTCACTGTGGAGTTCCCAATAGCTATGAGGGAAGAGTGAAGCCAGCAGAGAAGAAACAGATGTAGAGATGGTGAGTGAGTGAGCAGCCACGTCCTAACAGCCCAGTGGAGCCCCTCAATCCAGCTGTTTCAGTTCTGTTCCCTGAAGGTTTTCAGTCTTGTGCTTCAATAGGTATCCATTTCACTTAGGTCATTTTGAATTGGGTTTCTGTCCTTTGCAAATCAAAGAGTTCTATCTCTTCTGTGCCAGGTCCTGAGACCAAGACAAACCCATTTCATAACCCAAGCTGGATAGTAGAGTGGTTAAAGGTGTGAACTTTGTCACCTGCATATGAATTCTGGCTTCACTACTGACAAAGTACATGACTTCATACAAGTTCCTTTGTGCCTCGATGTATTCATCTAGAAAATGGTGAAGGTATAAAGAGCACCTTTTGTGCTCTTAGGCTATTGTGTAGATAAGCTAATTCATCTAGAGTGTTTAGTATGGTGTCTGGTCTGTAGTGAGCATTCAATAAGTATGAGTTAGAGGCAAATTGTGGCCAGCGGCGGCTAGACACGATCAACAAGGTAACAGCTATGCCAATATTGTCGCGAATCTGCTTTGTTACCTTCCTCCTCCTCTCTATCCCACCTGTATAGATTGCATTATTGCTCCTAATTCATAACACAGCATGGTTGTTGTAAGCACTGGTGTTGTTTGTTCAGTAGTATATCTGCAGGAACTGGCTGGCCGATCACCTGTCCACCCGCCCCAGCAAATGATGGAGCAAGGACATGCCATGTGGGAAATTGTCTCCAAGTACACAAAACGGTTGCCTCTAAATACACTACTGGACAAGCTGTTCCAGAAAGACTCACAGAAAAACATTAAAATACTTAAATCACAAGGCTTATTAAATATATTTAAAACACACAGCAGTAAGCAAAAGGAGAAAGATGGGGTCAGTTCATGCACTTGGGATAGGGAGCATTTGGAGGACTCTAGCAGTGAATCCTGGGGTCCACAATGTCCATGTGCCCTGTCTCTCTCTGCCACTTCAGCTCTCTCTGCTCATAGAGGGGTTACCAGGACCAGAGTTCAGGTTTGAGCAAGAGGACTGTGTAGGAAAGGATTAACTTAGCAAGCTTAGGATGCTCAAACTGTACATTCCAAAGAAAAGATGGTCCTTGACTACCTCTTGGGAGAGAACCCTTGAGCCCTTGAAATAGATTGTCTGATAAGAATATCTTCATTTGCCAGGGCCCTGGGTCCTGCCAGATAGTTTATGCTAACAATGTGATTTATGGTAAGAGACTTGGGCCACATGGAATCAGTTGAACCTCTAGGGAGCTGGATCTGAGTAGTCAAGGTCAGTCACATAGGCATTCCAATACAAATTCTCGCCACTAAGGCTTGTTTGAAAGTCCTGCTTGGCAATACTATGTAAGTGGTGTCATGTCTCATTGCTGGGAGAATTAAGTGTCATCCATATAATTCCACTGGGAGAGGACAACTAAGAGCCTGTACCCAGTCTCTCCTAGACTCTGTGATGTGCACCTTTTTCTTCTGCTGATTTTTGCCTTTATCCTTTTGCTGTAATAAATTGTAACCAGGAATTCAACTGCTTTTCTGAGTTCTCTGATTCTTAGCAAATCATTGAAACTGAGGGTGATCTTGGGTATTCCTGACACAGGGGCCCACAGATGGAAGGTGCCCTAGGCCAATGACACGTACGTGCACTACTACAGAGGTGTTGGAGCAAGGATGCCTGGTCTCCACTATAGCTTGCTTACTAGCCAACTGAGCAACTGTGAGTTCTATTCAAGTTTCTTGGGCTCAGGACATGTGGACCTTGAAGGATATAACCAATAGGTTGCCAAATTAGGAGATCACGAATATTAAACGCTCACATATATTTGATGCTTCTTGATATTTAGCCTTACATATATTTAGCACACTATGAATATTTGGTACTCAGATGCATCATAAATATCAGGTATTTCTTGGTCCTTTCATCATTCTCTACATATGATTAACATGGCCCCACTTGCCTACTACTTATCTTATATTTATACTTAAATTAAACTCCCATGAGTTCTGCCTATGACAATCACACTTCTTGCTTACTAGTTACTCATTTAGACTTACACATCTTCAGATAGTTCGCCTACATTTGTAAACCACAAGCTTATTCATTTACTAGAATTGGGTATTCTTAAAACCATGCACATCGCAGGACACAGCCTGATAGGTGAGTTAGGGGAGAAGAGTCACAGGCATATCACTGAATGCTTTAGTCCTTCAAGTATTTCAGTTCCGGGATCAGGACACATGAGTCCTGATTCCTGGCCTCATGGCAGCTGCCTCCTCCCAAGTTCTTTGCTTCTATTCATTGTTCTTGTGGAATAAGGATAATAGTGATAACAGTGGAGCTCACATATTCAGAGTTACTACTATGTTCCAGGCATTTTTCTAAATACTTTATATAAAGTAATGCTTCACAGGAACCCCATGAGGTAGTGGGCATTCTAATCTCATTTTCATAGAGGAGAAAATAAGACACAGACGGGCAAAGAGATTTGCTTGATATCAACGGCAGAAGTGATGGTGGAGCGAGGGGTCGCACTCAGGAGAGCTGGCTCTGGAAACATGCTCGCAGACACCCCATTCTGCTCACTTCCAGAACAGTGCCCTGGCTGAGCTCCAGTTCAGGCCTTGTAAACACTGCTGAATGTAAAATATATGAAGGCTGAAGATGCTTGGGATGAATGTTCATAAGAAATGAGAGTGAGTGAAGGTGGAGGTGCATTAACGTATATTAACCTGTGACAAGACTGTCTTTAAGAAGGAGCTCTTACAATTACCTTCTCTGAAAGATGGCCATGAAGAACAGAAGTTCTATATGGTAAAATTTCTCCCAGGGTTAGCACAGGGAAGTAGATATTCATAAGAGAGAATTCTACGTGGAAGTGTTATGGGAAAAAAATTTCTTATCTATGTGCATATTGAAAATGTATCATAAAAATGGAAGATCAACACCTACACCCACTTCAGATCTACCAGGTATTTGTCACAGAGTTCACCTGCCTACTTGCATACTCCAGAGTTGGGAAGGCTAACAAAAAAGGGGGTCCAGAAGCATATACGGGGTGAGTGAGATCAGAGGGTGTCACACTCAGGAGTAGACATTTTAACATTCCTTTCTTTAAGCTACATGCTTTTGAATGCTTATGAGAGGGATTACAAATAGTCACTGTTTGGGTTTTTTTTTTGTGTGTGGAGGCAGGGCCAAAGAATGGAAAATGACCGCGGTCTGTCAAAGGGTTTGTCAAAGTCTGTGGCCTTTGGTGGACCTGTGCACCTACTTCTTGGTGTGTTCATTTGCAGAACCAGTGACCACACGCCTGTGCTAGGCAGTCATGAACTCCGTGGCACAGTGAAGCAAGGCAAGGAAAACGCATTGCCGGTGCAGAGCACACAGTAGGTACTCAGTCAACGACAGCAAAATCTGAAGCATATCTATATCTTGTCAAAATATCCCTTTTGGAGAGGAGCTCCTAAATTCTGCCCAGCCTGGATTCCTATTTGTCCTCTGAATGTTGGCAGGGGCCAGATTGGGAATTGGATTTCTCCCTTGAAATAAAGTTTTCTTGACAAAACACAACATGTTATCTTCGAGTCCTTCTAAAAGGAAAAAAAAAATCATGCAGTTTCTTGGAAACCAAGGGCTTCTTTACATGAGCATGTCTTAAGGCATGGTGGGATGCCAAATCTTCTAGAATGGATGAGGGTAGGGAGTAGGGTTACTAATCCTGACATGTCTTTTCGAAGTTTCACAAGATCCTAATTTTACAGAATGAGAAATTTTGCTAAGTCTCCCCCCACACCCTTCTCCTGCTACAAGGTAACGATCCCATAGGCAATCACCCCCACAGCTGATGAACTCAACACAAACATGTCCAAGCACTGCACCTGGTATCAGCCTCAGGCTTCTTCAGCTTCTATCCAGGAGAGGGCGTCGCCACCAAATGTGGCCTCCTGATCAGCCCCCTCCCTGCAAGTCACTATAACTCCCTCAGCTTCAGCCACACAGTTCTCCTCATAATTAACCTCTCTTTTTATAGCTAATGGCTCTTACAGTGAGGCCTCTAATGTAGGGCAGCCAGTTAATTCACCCTGAGGGTTTCTTTCCACGTATGAGACCAAAGCATTTTATAAAAGAGTCTTTCTATGCACAGCAGCCGCCTAAAAGTTGCTTAGAAAGCTAATAGGAAAGGCCTTCATCATTCTGAGGGAAGTCCCACTGGACCCGTGTTTGATTTCCTTGTTCTTCTTCCCCTTCACTTTTTTTTTTTTTTTTTTTAAAACAAGATCAAATTCATTCCCAGTTAGCATGTTCTGTGATTATAAATGGCGCTCCTTGGTATTCCTGGGAATATCTGACTATGGGTTGCTGCTGGCTGGGACTTCAGAGAACTTCTAACCTGAGAACAGTATTGTCTTTAGGAAGCCTTCAGAGATAGACAAGCTGTACTGCCCATCTCTGAGTTCAAGGGCACATTTATTGAGGCTAAAAAGACTAAAACCTTCTATCAGATAACCTGCTAACAAATAATTCCCACCAGAACACCAAAATAAATAAATAAAACCAAAAACAAATATACAGATGAACAAACAAAAACTCAAAGATCCTGAAATAAGAAAGGAAACGAGTGGCATCTTCCGACTCTATTTGTAAGAGTAATCAGTTGGGGGGTGGTCACGCTAAGGAAAACTAACATTTATGACTGACTGATGATATGCCACACACTGTTCTAAGCACTTGACAACTGTTCCCTCACATAATCCTTAGGACAATCCTATAGGGTAGATGATATTAGTCCTATTGTACAGATGAGGGCACTGAGGTGAACACACAAGAAGCCAGAAAGTGTTGGCACATGGCCATGAGCTGGCTCCTAGCCATGCTCTGGCCAAGTTCATAAAGCTGCCTATGTAAGGATGTTCTCTGGGATCTGGTCTTGGGTGACCTGCTGACCTCCCTGGCTCTATGTGGTAGCTGATGCTATATTTTCTATTGCACAGCATTATAGGTCCAGGGAAGTTCTCCCTTCTAGAGCCACATCTCCAGGCACTCTATCTGAGCCTTTTCTCAACCCAATTTATTTCTAGATGCCAATACTAGCCATGTCAAACCACAAGGTGAGTAAGAGAGAGCAACGTCCAATGAACACGCATTGGGCTCTTGCAACGTGTGGGGCTCTGCAACACAGAGATGGAAAAGCCAAGGATTTCCTAATCTGGTGGTGGAGATAGACAAGTAAATAGACCATTCTGATACATGCAACAAATATTATTACAATAGTTATAATAGCACTTCATTTGTATTAGGCATTGTCCTTAGCACATTTCATAGATTTTTCTCATTTAATCTTCACAGTAATCCCACGGGTAGCTGTGGTTAATGTTTTGCATATGAGGAAGAGGAGAGGTACCTAGAGGCTATATGGCTTAGCTAGAAGTGGAAGACTTGGGATTCTGAGTCCAGGCAGTGTGGCCCCAGTCCTGTACTTTAAACCAAGCTGCTCTGTGGCCTCTGTCCTGATGGAGGCAAGCTCAGAGGAAGGTGCAAGCACAGAGGATAAACATTCCCTCAGGCAGTGAGGGGTCTTCCCAGATGAGGGGACCCCAAGTTGGATGGGGTGATCTATAAAAGCCACTAGTCCATGACTGGACAAGACATGGGTGGTGCAGGCATACCCTAGAGTTTTTGCTGTGATCAGAAGCAATGGGTTGGCAACATGGCAACGTGGATATATTTTATGAACATAAGACTGAGTGGCAAAAGGGAGACACAGAATGGGGCCTGTAGCACCATGTCATATATGTGACTTAAAAATGCATATACATGAAGCAACAATATACATATGTAAGAACATAGATAGGTAAAATGATTCCTATCAAACAAAGTAGAATGGTTGCCTTTTGGGATTGAGATGGAATTCTAGTGGGGAGAGGGATAAGGTAAAATAAATAAAGAGAAGCATCATGATGGTAGTGTACTGTGAAAGGAAGAGAATAAGTCAGTCAACCTTGGGTTCCTGAGAGAAGAGGAGGGTGGGGAGGAAGAAAATTCTTATTAGTGTTGGTCAAGAACTTCTTTTCCAGGATTTGCCCCTTCCTGCCTCTTTCCACAGGGTGTAGCATGAGGAGTAATTTGCTTTCTCCAGTGTGATCCCACTCTCTTCTCATAATTGGTTGGTCCTCAGATGGGTACCTGACTCAAGCCAGGCCAATCAGCTCACTTCCTTTTTAGAAGGCTTTAGTGTCCAATAGAGGCAGTACAGCTGAAGAATAATGCCAAACTATATTAAGGACCAAAGTAGATTTAAACCTTGCCTGCACCATGAGCCATGTGACCTTGAACATATAGCTTAGACTCCAAATACCTGGGTTTCCTTGTATGTAAAATAGGAAAATATAATACCTAATTTATAGGATTGCGTGAAGATTTAATGAGTAAACAAAATGCATGTGTGATGCTTAGAGCAGTGCCTGCCATGCAACAGGGGCTCAAGAAATGTTGGCCATGATTGTTTCCTACGAATTTGGGAATTGGGAGACTAAAGAAAGGCCTTTATTTGGATGGCTGATCAGTATGCCAAGGAGTAAGTCATTTTCGATCTCATGAAGCTGCCTCATTATTTTATCCCCATGGGCCATGGAAATATCATCATTTTATGTAATATTTGTGAGGTGAAAGGGGTTGGGAAAGGATTGCTAAGTAGGAATCAGTCTCTGGCTTAATTTCTGAAGCCTGGCAATACCCAAATGGAGTTCGCAGGATACTTCAGTATTTTTCCATTCAATCACTCTCTCATATTTTCTGAAGTTAGTTTAAATGTATTCCTGTGACATCCCTCTAGAATCCTGATTGAGGTCATAATAATAGTGAAGACATCACTGCTCAGCCCCTTAGCTCATCTCCATACATGGTAACTTCCACAGTGTCTTCCTCATGGAGAGTCACCCTTAGGTGCTTATTACTAAGCTGGACATTGTTGAGAAACAAATACAAGATCACATATCTCTTCTACTGCCATGGTCAAGACCCAGTTCACACAAATGATAATGCAACAAACTTTAGCACACTGGATTTTACATGAAATCTTCTGATGTAATAACATGTTTCTGTTCTCATGAAGTTTAAATATGTTGGTAAAAGAATCAGTTCCCGCACTTACTCATTTGCCTCCATGCTGGTAAGTTCTGTTTACCATTTCCTAATAGGATGTTTATACAACTATTTCAAAAATAGCCATTTTTGGTGCTCAGAAAAGTTGGCCAAGTCTTTATTGGAAATTCAAACTTGCATGACAAACAAATAAATGATTGACTCAATTTTTTCTTTTAGAACCAAAGTTCTTAGAAGAGAATGTGAAAGCGAATCAGAAGGGATGAACACACAGGAAACCTTCCCTGACCCTTGGAAGTCAGAGAATAGTCAACAAACTGATTTAGGCAATTTCACTGCTTTGAAGGTTTCAAAGAAGACTGATTTCTGTTTGTTCAGCCACCATTTGGAAGTGCAAAGATCAAGAACATCAAAAGTGTTATCTGAGCTTTTGAATGTGTTTGTGAAATTGCTAATGGAGGCATTTCTCAGAGATCTGCATTGTGGCACTTTTTATCTGTGTCAGTTTGGCAGGTGTTATCTGATCAAGTGAGTGGTCCTTCCGGCACGCCAAATGCCTTCCAAACGCCTCCAAATGCCTTCCAAAGGCATATGAGAGAGAAATGAAAACTAGCCACTTCCTGTGATTGGGAGGTAGAGTTAACCAAAGGACCTATGATGACTTCCTGAGGATGTTTAGTCAGTCACTACAGTGGCTGACAGCTGGTGCATGAAGCTTGTAGTCTACACTTCACGAGCAGCAGCATTAAGTCCTCAAAATCATAAAGAAGTCCAGTCACGCTTTGTAAGAAGAACTACTTCAATAAAGTTTATCCGAGAGAGTCAGTCCAGGGCTGATATGGTACTCCTCATCATCAGGAACCCATACTCCTTCCTGTTTGCTTCTCTGCTGTGTGTGACTTGAATTCTCAAGTTCACTTCATGGTCTAAGTTGGCTGTTGATGTTTCAACCTTCCAAAAGGAAAGAGGATGGGAGGCGAAGAGTATGCCCATCCTCCTAGCTCCCTTTAAGGAGACTTATTGGAAGTTACTTGGGCCGCTTCCAGTTATAACCCATTAGCTCGAACTTAGTCATATGGTTACACCTAATTATAAAGTAAGGTAGAGTCTATAACCCAGCTAAGATTTAGGGGGTCTGTTACCATAAAAAAGGTAGAATGGATTTTTAAGGACAGTTAGCTAGTTCTCTTCCATCATCCTTCAGGACTCAGCCCAAATGTCCCCTCTTTAGAGATCATCAGGGCCCATCCTGTCAATAGTAGGCTTTCCATACTTCTTCATCACAAATCTGCTCAGTTCCACAGAAGAGATATTCTTTGTTTATTTGCTTCTTTCTACATTTCACGTTATTTCTTCTCCACTAGAACAAAGTTCTTTAAGTGTAGGGACCTTATCTGTCTTGCTGCTCACCTCCATACCCCAGTGCCTCACAGTGCCTGCCACGTGGTAGAAACTTTATAAACATGTGGAATAAATGAAGAAATCAATAGGTACTCAAAATTTATGAGGAATACATATTATTTTAATATCACAGATATAAAATAATGCAGTATGTCACCATGTACAACTCTTGCGAATGCCATGCTTATTCACAAGTACCTTCAGGACCACAAACTGGAACATGATGAGAATCAAGAAAACATGCTCAACGCTTCTGGGGAACACTAGCTTATTAGTGCAGGAATCTATTGCATTCTTGCTCTCTGTAAGATTTGACAAGTTAATAAATTCATCTTTTCTTCTTGAGTACTTCTGTTCCTCAAGTCTTCATGCTCTTAGGCAGTGTCTATGTTTACAACATTCAGATACAGTCTTCTCTTAAAGGCAAGACCTGAGGAGCAGCACCTCCTTGGAGCCTGAAAGTGGAGGCTTAGAGGCATGAGTCATGCTGTGTGATCCTTGACCACCAGATCCCTGGTGACAGAAGCACCCATATATCCTTCCCAAAATTTGTTGTTGGTGTATGTTTGTGATATGTGGAGCCCTCTAAAAGCACAAGGCCCCTCTTTCTTGGGCCAAAGCATGGCACTGTGGAAGCCCCACTTGCTATTCCTTGAAATGAAAATGCACCAGTTAGACTCAAGCCATCCACACAATGAAGGCTAGAAGGGTCTGCTTTCCAGAGAATTTGTTTGTCTGAGGAAGATATTTGGCCTCAATTTTCTAGATTTCAGTTACATTTTATCAGCCCTATGGCCTTGGAAAAGTTATTTGTGAGTTGTATATCCAGGTTTTCTCATCTCTAAAATGGGGATTAAAATAGGACCTGTATCGATGCATTGAGTGAAGATTAAATGAGAAAATGCATATAAAGTTCTTAGCAGTATAATTGGCCCAGGGTGGGTGTTAGTGATAATGATGATGATGATTTGGATGGCAAGGCAGAGCTTGGGGGAAATTCACATTCCATTACAATTTCTGGGATAGGCTGGCTGGTACTTAGAATTAAGAGAATTAATTTGACTAGGGTCTGACTTTATCATCAAGATGTAAGGCACAGCTAATGTTCTTTCGATTTGGAAACTAGAACAAGGCTCTCTGAGGTATCATCCAACCCATAGATAGTTGTGTGGCTGCTTGAGGAGACCCAGAGTGACCACCAATGATACTAAGAATGTCAGGTTCTCTGAAGCGCTTGAATGCTCTTAGGATATGCTCCAAATATATGAGTGGTTATCTGTCAAGTATCGGGGTCACAGGGAGGCCTTAATATCTTTGCCTGATTTGAGTAACTGATTGATTAGAAGATCTGCTTTGATGAGAACTGAGTTGGCTTATCTCATTTGGTGTAGAAAACTCCATTAACAATTGTTTTCCACCATTCCTTTGTTGAACTATGGACCATCTAAGGGAAAGAAAAAAAAATACCTCCAAAGGTAATTTCTTTCTGCTCAAAAAGGGTCTTGGGTTTTCTGGTTTAACACAGAATTGAGAAGTAAGCATGCATCATTTATTTCTATGCAAAAAACATTCTTCACTTCAAACGGCAATTAGTGATAACATTTCTATCTTGTGTCATGATGAGATTTTTATGCTAATCATCACATAGCAGTAAATTAATCATTTGGGCACAGTTAGAGAGAATGTATATTTCATGAGACAGATATAGATATCAAGATCTGTTTGATATTTACTCAAGGTAAATGGGAAGCATCTAGAGTTATTATGAAGGAAGCACACTGAGCAAACAGGACTGAGTGGCAATGAAATGGATGCAGTTTAGAAGCATGACGATTTTCAAAACACTGTTGGTGTCATTAGTGTAATTATTGTGAGGAAGATGGAACACTCTGGGGAACCTAAACTCCAAATCATTCGCAGACACATCAGAACCCTCAAAGCCACATCTTAACAAAGTCAAGGGCAAAATCAGCAATTGACCTCCTTTCCTTGAATTCCTTCCTTTTTCTGTTGCAGAATTCCTTTTCCGCATTATACAGTATTTAAATGGGTTTTTCTTCTCAATTTGCACTTAGGTCTACTCAGCCAAATGAATCAGAAAAGCAACTTGACCCTGAAGTCAAATTGGAAAGCTACTGCATGCACAGGAAATAGGCCACCACTCAAATGATACACCATTTCTTAGCAGATGAACAGTTCCTTTTACAACAATTTATGGAAAATAAGAGAATTCTACTTAAAAATGCTTGTAGCTAATAGCATCTGCCAGCCTCCACAAATATCTAGTAGACCTAAGCAGTTATGATGTGCATATTCTTGTGAGTTTTTCTCATATTCCTTCTTCCACCCTTCTATTTTTCCAACTCCCATGTACTTCTCCATATCTCCTATATTACTAGTGCTACTGATAGCCACATTCACCAACACACTCCCCTGTCCTCACATATTGACATTGTCTCCCAACCTAGTTCCTCTAATACTTCTCCAGTAAGGCAGAAGTAAGGGGGTCAGTTAGGAAATGGGCCAATTCTGCTATTATTTGACCCTATATAACTCCCCCAACCCAGGTAAATTAACAACTCTCCAGGGAGAGGGAAAGAGATGTAATAAGATCCATTTCCTAAGAGCCATTTCTAGGACATAGGCAATGGGATCTGATAAGTCATAGATGTTGTTTATTTTCAATCTCAGTCTTTGGACAGTTCATAAAATCCCTGAGAATCCATATTCCCAAATAAGAATCAAGTAGTGAGAAAAGAATGAATCAAAATGTACAAATCACAAAATGAATATGGTTGTATATATTGGACAAAAATTAGTGACCTGACATTTACTTCTGACCAAGCAGAAGTAAAAAGGACCAGACTGGTTTTACAATATTAAACAAAAATCCAAATAAAATGTATGAAACAAGACAGTAGACACCAGGAAATGAAGAACAATGGTGTCCAAGAGACAGAAAACAAATGGGGTGAGCTCTATGCTGGCCTTATATTACTGCCTTGACAGTTGCCAGTTGCAGTTCAGAGAAGGGAAACCCAAGCATAGAGCAGCCATCTGAGTTGAGGAGAGGGAGCTGAGTGTTCAGAGAAGCCAAGGCAGCTAGAATTCACAAGATACAGCCTCGGAAAGGGGAGAGTTTCAGAGAGTGAGAATGCCAGAGATCTGTGGAGGGTCTCCTCACCCCTCTCCTAAATCCGAGTTCTGCAAGTTTTGATATGGAGGAGGTTTTGTGTGTGTGTGTGTGTGTGTGTGTACTGTACGTGCACGTGCATGTGCGCTATTATTCAATTGTGGAAATGTTTTCATTTCAATTGTGATTTCTTCTGTGGCTCATGGGTTATTTAGTGGTTATTTCTTCATTTCATTAAGTCACTTCTTATTTTCTAAACATATTTTTTTTAGTTGATTAGTCCATTGTGGTAGTAAATTTATTGAGCTTTTTCTTCTTATTCCATTTTTGGAGACATTGTTTTGTTGTTACACTCTACATTTATTTATTTATTTATTTATTTATTTATTTATTTATTTATTTTGGTTAGCCTAGAAAATTTAACATTCGTATTTAACTTGGCAAAGCCTAAAGTTATTATCTTCTAGAATAAAAGGACCTTAGAACACTGATTCCTGTAACTTCTCTTTTCATTTATATGTTATTCTAGCCAATTATCTTCTTTCTTTTCAAATTCTAGATTATTATATTATTTTATTTAGTTCATGTTTGTTTAAAATGTTTACCATTTTCTTTGCCCTTAATTTCTATTGAGCTGCCAGATTGAGGCTGATCTATTAGGACAATAAACCAAAATGAAATTAACAATTATTCCTTTATTACCTATGCAGATCATGTGAGCAAAACATAAAAATGGGCACCAATTCCCCAATGTTCCATTTTCTTTGCACCAAGCAAAGGTCAGGTGAATCAGCACAGATGGACGGGGATCTTACTGCCAAAGAGATCTGAACAAAAGACTCCTATCATTTTATGGACTTGGGATGAGGTTAAGGGGGGAGAAGGGAGGGCAAAAGCCTGAAAGTGAAAAGAACCAAATCAGAGTAGACAAAAGTGTCTTAGTCAAGATCCTCAATAAGGAAGCCTCTGAATGGAGGTGTTGGGCTTGAAGTGCAGATAAATGTATGAGTATGGCTGGTCCAGAGGTCCTGAGTCCTTGACTGCAACTCTCTTCAGAAAAATATAACGCACCTGTTGTGTACAAAGTCTTGTGTGAGGAGGATAGCTTTCCTGCTGGGCCAGCCTGCCCCCTCGTAATTACTTGTAGATGAGTCTAAAAGATCACACATAGAGTTTTGGTGTGGAGCCAGACTCTTCACTTCTTGCCTATTAGTCTTCACTCTAGGGCCATTTAATTTTGGCAGGAGTAGACATTTTCACATTTCCTTTAGTGAAGGTCTGTTGGTGGTAAACT